AAAAAAAAAGACCTTTTTGTCTTTCTGCAGTGATGCAAAGTAATCAGCAGGATTTTTTTCTGTTCTAAGCTCAAATGTTTCATTTGATTGCACTACTTTTAATGTGCACACTTCTGTTTTTTTCTACCTTGCTATTTGCAATGCTTTTCAAGTGAAGGTCAAGGTGCCAAAAGCACCAAAAACCCTGACATGAGTCATGTGTAAGGGCCTTAAGCTAGAAGCAGGATAAATGTAACTTATTAAAAAAATACTGCATGTTGTATTGGTTTAAACTAAGAAAACAGAAAGAAAAAAAAATAATACAATGTGATACCTCTCCCTCGGATTCGTGTGGGCTGTAGTAGTAGCTGCCATCATCTTCCATAATCACCTCTCCATATTCATCATACATCCCTGTTGGAGAGATCAGCTTCCGTCGACTCCCATACTGAGGTAAGTCATAGCTAAAAGACAGGTATACATAATTATTGCATATACCTCAAACACACACACGCACATGCACGCATGCACACACACTGGTATTCCTATCATTATGGGGACATTCCATAAGTGTAATGTTTTATTTTTTTTACTGTACAAACTGTATTTCTATCCCTTTACCCTAACCCTACCCCTAAACCTAGCCATCACAGGAAACTAAATCATTCTGTATGATTTATTAGCTTGTTTCCTCATGGGGACCTAAAAAATGTATCCACAAAGTAAAAATGTACTGGTATTACTATACTTGTGGGGTATAGTACACACACACACACACACACACACACACACAATTTATGAATAAATGAGCAAAAACTTTCTCCTTAACTGTCCCCTAAATCAAAACTAAAACTTTATGAAAGTTCTGGGACATTAAAATAAAAGGCAAATCCAATAAGTAAGATTTAGAAACATAACCTCATAACACTGTATGGAAAAGGTCAAAACAGACCTTCATTAAGGACTTTGAGTATTCTTGGGGAGCAGCAGGCTGTCTGAACCCAAATGCAGCTTAGGCAGCCCATTTAACAGGAAACAAGCTAACAATTCAGGATTATATTGATCCTCACTAGCTTGTAGCCATGGAGGTTTTCATTTGGATTTATTGAGATTAGAAGGATATATTGAAGACCAATGTGGTATACAGCAGGGAACTGTTACTGATCACATTTGTACAACCTACTGTATAAGGCAGTAAGAAAAAAACATGGCTAGCATTCTGCTCAAATATCTTTGATAGTCTGCAATT